GATTTCACAATCCATGGGGACTCTTTTGACTCTTGCCTCTATCACCTCACTCTTGTGCTAAAAAAGTTGCATTGAATCCAACCTTGTGGTGAACTCTGAAAAATGCCACTTCATGGTAGAACAAGGGATTGTTTTTGGGCATGTGATCTCATCAAAGGGGATCGAGGTGGACAAAGCAAAGATTGATGTGATTCAAACGCTCCCGTACCCCACAAACGTACGGGACATCCGCTCTTTCCTCGGTAACGCCGGTTTCTATAGGAGATTCATCAAGGATTTCTCAAAAATTTCATCTCCTCTATGCAAACTTTTACAAAAGGAGGTGGAATTTGATCTAAATGATGAATGCAAAGAGGTTTTTGACACTTTAAAAGTAAGATTGGTGACTGCCCCAATCATACAAGCTCCCGATTGGTCTCTTCCTTTTGAGATCATGTGCGACGCAAGTGACTATGCGGTGGGGGCTATTTTAGGCCAAAAAGTCGGAAGAGCTTCTCATGTCATCTACTACGCCTCATCAACCCTCAACGAAGCCCAAAAGAACTATTCCACCACCGAGAAGGAAATGATAGCGGTAGTCTTTGCTTTGGAAAAGTTTCGTTCCTACCTTCTTGGAACGAAAGTTATTGTCTACACCGACCATGCCGCTCTCTGATTCCTTATGACAAAGAAAGAAGCCAAACCAAGACTCATTCGATGGGTCCTTCTATTGAGTGAGTTTGATATGGAAATTAAAGACAAGAAAGGAGCGGAGAACTTGGTGGTCGATCATTTAAGCCACCTCATTCCTCACAAAGACATCGAAGACCTCCACACAAATCTCATCACAGGCGAATTCCCGGACGAAACTCTCTTCTCCATCAAAGTCACACAACCATGGTACACAAATATTGTTGACTTCCTCATTTCCGGCAAATTTCCTCCACAACTCTCAAAATCTCAAAAAGAAAAATTAAGAATGGATTCAAGACTCTATGTGTGGGATGACCCATATTTATGGAAGCATTGTAAGGATCAAATAATCCGAAGATGCATCCCTGAATATGAGATAGCCCACATCATAGAGTTTTGTCACTCTTATGCTTGTGGAGGACATTTCGGTCCGAAACGAACGGCAATGAAGATACTTGAAAGCGGTTTTTGGTGGCCGAGTCTATTTCGGGATGCACACGGCTTTTGTCAATCTTGTGACAATTGCCAAAGAGCGGGCAACATTTCAAGGAGGAACGAGATGCCACAAAACCCCCTGCTTTTCTGTGAGATTTTCGATGCATGGGGTATCGACTTCATGGGACCTTTCCCAAATTCCCAAGGTAACATATACATCATTCTTGCAGTAGATTACATCTCCAAATGGGTGGAGGCCAAGGCAACAAAAACTGATGATGGCAAGGTGGTGGCTAGTTTTCTAAAATCACCCATATTTTCAAGGTTCGGGGTCCCTCGAATTTTAATAAGCGATTCAGGCACACATTTTTGTAATAAAATTGTGGGATCCCTACTGAAAAAATATGGTGTGACTCACAAAATTTCTACAGCCTACCACCCTCAAACCAATGGCCAAGCGGAAACCTCAAACAGGGAGTTGAAATCTATACTCCAGAAAACAGTGAACCCGAACCGAAAGGATTGGAGTATACACATTGATGATGCGCTATGGGCATACCGATCTGCCTACAAAACGCCAATCGGTATGTCCCCTTATAGACTTGTGTTTGGGAAAGCATGCCATCTTCCCGTAGAGCTAGAACACAAGTCCTATTGGGCGGTTAAAGAATTCAACCTCAATCTTGACGAGGCCGGTGTACATAGGAAGCTCCAATTACAAGAATTGGAAGAACTTCGCCTGGATTCTTATGACAATGCGGAAATATACAAGAGAAAGACGAAGGAGTGGCATGATAAAATGATCATACGAAAAGATTTTAAACTTGATGAAAAAGTCCTCCTATTCCAATCACGTCTTCGTCTATTTCCGGTAAAGCTGAGATCCCGTTGGACCGGACCATACAAACTGGTCAAAACATATCCACACGGGGCGGTGGAAATTCAGGACCTGGAGACGGGAGAGGTGCTGAAAGTGAAAGGACAGAGATTAAAACCCTTCTTTGAGGGTTTTCAAACCAAAAACGTGGAAGTCATAGACCTCGCTGAACCGGTCTACGAATGAGGAACAACAGAAGATATCGTCAAGCCACGACGTTAAATAAAGCGCTTCTTGGGAGGCAACCCATGCACGGTATGTTTTTCTTTCTATTTTTTTAGTAGAGTGTGTGTGTAAAAAAAAAACGGTTCCGGAATATACCCGGCCGGGTATCACAGTTCACCCGGTCGGGTATGACATAAAAATAGGGATACCCGCACGGCTACCCGGGTGGGGGAGCGTAAATTTGAAAAAAAGAGGCAAACCCGACCGGGTATTTTATTTCACCCGATCGGGTATCAACTACCAGACCTCTCTGGTTAAGTAAATCAGCTCACCCGACCGGGTAAAGAAAGGAGACCCGATCGGGTATCCAGGCAAAAGCTCTCTGCAAGTCTCTGGAACGCTAACCCGACCGGGTCAACGGACTTTCAACCTATACCAGGTCGGGCCATCCACCTTCTTCCTCATTCTTTCTTCCAATTTTCGAACAACCCACCCCAAAACCTCCATTTTCATTCACCAAAACCTCCAAATCTCCCTCATTCCCGCACCAAATTCATCAAATAACATCATATTCTTCATCTCCTCACCTCCCTCTTCCACCCTACACCAATTAATCCTTCCAAAATCCCCAAAATCAACCAAACCCATAAACCCTACACCAAATTTCGAACCCCTCCATTTTTGGACATTCAAAGTCAAAATTCAAGCCAAAATCCCCAACAAACATCAAATACCTCTTCTCCTCATCATCCTCTACAAAACCATACCACTCACCCTCACCAAATCCCACCTCCCCAAAAAAATCGAAAATCCCTCACCAAAAAAAAGGGGGAAAAATTCCATGGCACCAAAAAAGGGAAGAGCTACTTCAAGAGCTCCAAGAGCTATTCCACCAGTCGAGGGCTTCGAATCGGTGGAATTTGAGACCGAAGCACAACGCACCCGTTTCCTTGAGCAATTTGAACGAGAGGTAAAACCCTCCCGCTTTATATGCCAATTGACATTAACTATGTTCTGGATTCATGATATTATTAGACATATATTCTTAAAAGGTGTGGCATGCTTAAAATGTTTGATATGCATTATTGGCCATATTCTCGTTTAGTGTATGAGTTTTACAGTTTCGTTGAGCATGTGAAAGATGAAAATGATCACACCAATAACACGATCAACTTTTGTCTGCTCAACGAGAACCGCTCACTCACTAAAAGAGAATTCGCTGAACACTTCGGCCTACCCTTGCTTGATGACACGGTAGCGTATAGTTCACCGGTGGCCTATGAACTATGGAGAAGAATGACCGGAATTGTCAATGTTCGTACTTCCCACCTCAATTTCGACCACGTCCAACACCCGGTCTTCCGAATTTTCTTAAAATTCTTGGCTAATTGCTTTTTCGGAAGACCAAACAACCATCAAACTAGAGTGTGGGATGTATGCCTCTTAGCACAAGCTGTTCTTCCGGGTGCCGGCCCATATGATGTGACCACAGTTCTTTGGGATCACATCATAAATGTTAAAAATGATGGAGGAAAAATTCTGATAGGGGGTCTAATTACCCACATTGCCACACTATATGGTTTTGTATGCAATGGTGCACAAAACCACATGACCCTTCTTGGCCTTCAGTTTTTAAAGAATGCTGGCGATGTGACCCTCTCACATATAGAACATGGTGGCCTAGAAATCTATAATTGGCACATCAAACCCGACCAAGAACTATACTACTCCTTCCCTTCCGAAAACCTCCCGCTTAACATCATCGATCACCAAATCGGTGATGGACACCACTATTGTATGCCCGGGGGAATTCCACCACATTTTGCACCCCCGGAAAATGAGGCGGGGGACAATGAAGACAACATAGCCGCCAATGAACAACCTGCACTTGAAGCACCACCCGTCATTCCTGAACAACCTCGCCCACAACCCCATGCTCATCAATACTCTCCATTTGAGCAAGAAATGCTAAACAACATGAATGCTCTTAACCTCAATTACACCCAACTTCGGGAGGAAGTTGGGTTGTACAGAAATGAGCAAAGGCATAGCTTCGAGAGGATTGAAGAACAAAGGCGAGAAGATTGGCGCCGATATGAAGAGGACCAAAGGAGGACTTTTGGACCTATCTACTCCTATATCGCACATCAGGGAAACTTCACCTCTATGACCACTTCTCCTCCGGCACCCTCATGGTATAACCCCACTGAATGGGGTTATTTTGGTGGTTCGACCTCTAGTGGTGGAGGCGGGGAAGACGGATACAACGGTGATCATATGGACGAGGATACCCACTATAGGGGTTATGGAGGATTTTTCGATGGCGGAGATGTGGACGGGCACTAGGGACTGTGCCACAGATTAGCGGTGGGTTAGATCTTCCCGGTATGTTCACATTCACACTCTTGATTCTTGTTATCTTCCTAAACAAAAAGAAAATAAAAGAAAAGAAAGCTTGCTAAGTTGAAAACCCACAAAGGGCAGCTTAAGAAAAAATAAAGCAAAAATAAGAGTGAGTTTGTGAGATTTATTAAAAGAAAATGTGGGAAGCTGGGTTGAAAACCCGAAAGGGCACCAAGGAAAAATGAGAGAATGAGAGAAGTAGTTCTTTTTATTCTGCAGGATCCTTGATAAGTCCGATTTGTTCATATATTTTAACTCACATTTTATAGCGTTTCTTGTTAAACTTTGGGCAAATTGAATCACTTTTCTGCATTTTTGTTGATGTTTGAAATTAGTGTTGAAGTTTATTTTGAGTGATTTGGTTTAATTGAAGTGTTTGGGTTGATTTTGTATTTTTTTCCCACTTATTTGTATTTTGGTTATTTTGTGATTTGCCAAATTCAGCATTCTACTATATTTCAATAAGACATCTTTCAAGTACTCTAATCAAAAGAAACCAAAAACAAAACTGCAGCTAAGTTGCGTGAAGAAAAAGAAAAACAAACAAAATAAAGAGAAGGAAAAGAAACCAAAAAAATGAAAATAGAAATGAAGAGATCAGATTGGAGTGTCGGCCAGCAAAATAAATGAAAGAAAGGACAACCACACACAGTGAGAAGCTAGCAAGAGCACATGGCTGAGAGCAATCAAAGAAGAAAACGAAAAACAAAAAATGGAAGGTTCAGCCCAAAGTCGTACGGATCTGCAAGATAAACTCAAATAAAAGGCAGCTCTAGGCTGCAGGCACGGCTCACTTGTCGGCAGTAGGAAAGAAAACAATTCAGACCAACAGCTCTGGGCCGGAAGGCACAACAATCGGCAAAGACATGAGATAGGCTTAGGCAGCAGCGGAGAAAATCCCAGCAGAAAAGAAGATAGCAGCAGCAACAATTTCGGTTTATCTTTTGTTATCTGTCAGGTTTTCACCTCTCCAGCTCAGACCACGCTCATACAGCACACACACCAAAAGCACCACCGGAAGGGACAAGAACACTCAGACCAGCCCAGCCATCTCAACGCACGCCAAAGGTCAGAAAAGGGGAGGCACAAAAAGAATACCACAGAGGGACTGAAACGGAGAAGAGACAGGGGTCTCTCTCACTCTCTCTTAACCTCACTCTCTCTCTCTAACCGAAGACCTCTACGTCAACCAAAGGCGTAGAGGAGTTTAAGTACCCGGCCATAGGGGAAGCCCTAAAGGAGGGTTCCAGAAGAAGGGCTAGCGGCAGAACAACATGGGCCAGGGCAGAGGTAAGCAAACAGGCCTAATAGGATAGAGAGGGCTGCCTTGGCCCGTGGGGCCAATACCTCCACACTCTCCACCTTATTGGCCATCATTGGTGGTGCATGGTATCACAAAGTAACATGAGCACGTGGTTCATCATCGCTGGGTCACCAGTGATATCCTAAAGACATAACTGGCAAACAAATTGGAGATACACAAAATACTCCCAAAAGGAAATTGGAGAAGTACCCAAAGTACTCTCCCTAACCGTGAGAGTAGATTCTCTCAAGCACTACGCTTTCAAGAATCTACCCTCCAACATACCCAAAACCTGCAAACAGAGTTAACCGCAGTCCAAATTTAAAATTCGTTTACAAGACAAAAGTTTTTCAGCAGATAGACACTTCGTCCCCATATCTGCAGGGTTGAACTCTGAGGGTATCTTGCACAACTTCACTTTACCTGCATCTAAAACATCACGAATAAAATGGAACCTCACATCAATGTGTTTGGTCCTGTCATGAAAAACAGGGTTTTTGCAAAGCTGGATAGCAGACTGGCTATCAGAAAACACAGTAACATCCTGTTTGAGAAAACCTATTTCAGCAACAAGACGACTTAACCAGATGGCTTCCTTGAAAGCTTCTGTAGCTGCAACATACTCAGCTTTAGTGGTTGATAAGGCAACAATTGGTTGTAACTGAGATTTCCAACTAATACACGACCCACACAAAGTGAACACATAGGAAGTGGTAGATTTCCTATTGTCTTTATCATTAGCATAGTTAGAGTCAACATAACCACTCAGTTTCACACCTTCAGTACACTTAGTAAAAATCAAACCATGATTAGCAGAAAATTTCAAGTATCTCAAATGCCATTTCAAAGCATTCCAATGAGGCATACCAGGATTAGACATAAACCTACTCAAACAACTCACAGCATAGACAATATCAGGTCTAGAACTAACCATCAGATACATCACAGAACCTATAGCATTGGAGTAAGGAACAGACTTCATAAGCTCAATTTCAGAATCAGTCTTAGGAGACTGATTCTTACTTAGCACAAAGTGAGAGGCAAGAGGAACATGCACAGGTGCAGCAGAAGACATATTAAACTTACTCAAAACCTTCTCAACATACGAAATCTGATTTAGAACAAGAGTATGCTTGCTCCTATCCCTAATAATGTTAATCCCAAGTATCCTCTTGGCATCACCAAGATCTTTCATCGCAAAGTTCTCACAAAGACATTTTTGAACAGACATAATAGATTTAAGACAAGGGCTAATAATCAACATGTCATCCACATAGATTAACAAGAACACAGGTACAGAATTTGTATTCTTGAAATAAAGACAATGATCACAGGCAGATTTCACAAATTTCATAGACTGCATACACTTGTCAAACCTAATATTCCACTGCCTAGGGGATTGCTTCAGGCCATACAAGGCCTTCCTAAGCAGACAAACATGGTCACTCCTCTTGGGATCCACAAAGCCCTCAGGTTGAGTCATGTAAATTTTCTTATCCAATTCACCATGCAGAAATGCAGTGGTGACATCCATTTGTTTCTTCTCCCAGTCATGGTGAGCAACCAATGCCAACATGATTCTAACAGTAGTAAACTTAACTACAGGAGCAAAGATTTCGGCATAATCTACCCCCTCTTTTTGAGTAAACCCCATGGCAACTAACCTGGCCTTATACCTAATGTTATTACCCGGTTCTTCCTTGACCTTAAACAGCCATTTGCACTCAACCACTGAGCTGGCATTAGGTCTAGGAACAAGGGTCCAAGTCTGGTTCACTCTTAGAGAGTCCATCTCACTTTTCATGGCCTCAAGCCATTTCTGAGACTCTCTGGACCTTATAGCTTCACTATAGGTCTTAGGTTCATTTAGGTCTAGGGTCTCAAACACAGTAAAAGCAAAATCAGATATATCACACGCAGTAAAAGCATAATCAGACAAAGTATCAGATTTTCTCTTAATGGTTCTTCTACCCCTATCCCTAACAAGTTGGTAGTCATGCAAATCAACATTATCATTCTCAGCAGAATCATCAAACACATTAGTCTCACCAGACAGAGAATCATTTTGCACATGGTCATCTTGAGTGTTGAACTCCACCTCACCGGAGGTAGCAGTATCATAAGAAGTATTAACATGCACATCAGAAGGGATGACAGGAACAACAGGAGGAGTGTCATACATAACAACAGGAATAATAGGTACAGAAGGAGTCTGAGGCTCCACCTCAACAGGTGTCCTCTCAGGCTCATGCTCAGAAACAGGTTTAAGCAAGCAAGGGAAATCAAATTCATTAAAAATTACATCCCTACTTATAACCACCTTAAAACCAGGCACACTTCTATCCCACAACCTATATCCCTTTACCCCATCAGGATAACCCAAGAACACACACTTTTTGGATCTAGGATCTAACTTATCAGTTTTCTGATGAACATAGGCAGCACACCCAAAGACCCTAAGGTTTGTTAGGTCAAGAGGCCCACCAGTAAACTTAACTTCAGGGCATTGACCCCCTATGGGAACAGAGGGAGATCTATTAATCAGATAGGTGACAGTGGTGACTGCTTCACCCCAAAACTTCTTAGGTAAACCTGAGGTAGACAACATACTCCTAACCTTGTCAAGAAGGGTTCTATTCATCCTTTCAGCCACCCCATTCCGTTGGGGTGTGTAGGGCACAGTCTTATGTCTCTTAATGCCTGAAGTGGCACACAGTTGGTCAAGCTCTTGGTTACAGAACTCTAGGCCATTATCAGTCCTAAGGGTCTTAACATTCTGTCCAGTGTGATTTTCTACAAGTAACTTCCAGGCTTTAAACTTCTCACAAACATCAGACTTATGTTCTAGAAGATAAACCCACACTTTCCTAGAGAAATCATCAATTAAGGACAAGAAATACCGTTTCCCCCCATGTGTGGGAATACTAGCAGGACCCCAAACATCAGCATGCACATATTCAAGCACAGAGGAGCACTTAGTCATATTAGGATAAGAGGATAGAGGGAACTGGACTCTATGTTGTTTACCAAGCACACATGATTCACAGAAAGTCAAAGAGTTCACAGAGTCTTTACCAAGGTAACCATGTTTGTGCATGATCCCTAAACCTTTATTACTCATATGCCCTAGTCTATTATGCCACAACAAGGTTTTATCAGTATGCACAACATTCACAACATTCACAGCATTCACAGAGTCAATATAAGGTTTAGCATGACACACATAAAGGTTGTTCACCTTTTCAGCTTTAAACAACACTAGAGAATTTTTCAAAATTTTCATACTCCCATTCCCCCACTTTCCCTCTAGTCCACTACCCTCCAAGGCAGCAACAGATAGTAAGTTATGACACAAATCAGGGACATGCCTCACATTCTTAAGAGTAAACACAGAGCCACAAGAAAATTTGAGACATATATCACCAACACCCAAAACATTGCATCTCTTATTATCAGCCAAGGAAACATAACCCATATCACAATTCTCATACTTAGAAAACAAATCCCTAAAAGGAGTCATATGATAGGTACAACCAGAATCAATTAGCCATTCATGCTCAGTCAAGGTATTACGAACAGAATTAACATGGTCACACACCATGAGAACCTCACCAAGGTCATCTCTCTCTATAGCTACACTAGCCTGCCCAGGTTTCTTAGGATGGGGACAGTCCTTTATAAAGTGGCTAGAATTGCCACAGTTGTAGCACACACGCTTTCTAGACTTATTCCTCTTCTTACCATTCGGGTTACTATTTTTAGCTTGGGCATCCTGTTTCTGATTCTTAGACCTACTCTTAGATCTACCCCTCACAAACATAGCCTCACCAGAATCCTTGGGTTGACTAGAGATACTCCTTTTATGTTTAAGGTCAAGTTCCTTACTCTTAAGGCCATTCACAACAATATCAAGAGTGACATCATCTCTACCATATTTAATAGCAGATTTAACATCATTATATGAATCAGGAACAGCATTAAGCAACACAAATGCAGTATAATCATCAATATGTTTATCACCAGATTGTTTAATGTTCTGGATCAACTTATTAAAAATATCCAAGTTTTCATCAATGTCTTTGGTTAGGTCTAGCCTAAACCGAAAGAATTTTTCAAGCAAAAACAGTTTACCAGGCAGGGAAGTATCAGTATAAAGATCATCTAACTTATCCCACAACTTTTTAGCAGAATCCAAAATACCAACCTTTCTAAGCACAGAGTCAGATAGGTTAAGATATATAGTCGAGCAGGCAGTTTCATTCATTTCAGCTATCTTAGCACTATCATCAGAATCCAAATATAGTTCACTTACAGCTCTGAAAACCTTTTGCTGGATTAAAACACATTTGATCTTTTGTTTCCAAATGTCAAAATCAGTTTTTCCATTAAAAGGTAACATACCATACATATTGGCAAACATGATAAGGAACACAAAAAAGGATAACACTGAAGAATCAGTGGCTGAAGACAAGGTAAATGAAAGATAGCAAACAAAGAGACAGAGAACCAAGGAGCTAGGGTTCACCAGTGTACCCGGCTGCGGGCTGACAGGCCACACAGATCCGAGGGCCACTTGAGTGACTGACAGGGAACCTGTCAGTCCTAACCTCAGGTGCCGAGTCACAGAGGCAAAAAACCCAGTTCACAAGGATACCAAGAAGGCACAAAAAACAGTAAAGTAGAGATAAACACGTAAATGAGACAGAAAAGCAGAATACCAGATCAAACAACTCAATCCCGCAAACACAAAATACTCATGCAGACCACTTCACACACGAAGGTAAAGAGAACGCACCTGGGGAATGTCAGTTACAAACTGATAGCTAGACCAACACGGTCAGCAGCAAGAGCAAAGCGGGGAAAGGGGATGAATCAAGTAAAACACCAAAGAATCACATAAAACCGGAGGCACCCGGCAACCTAGGGTGTTTATCGCCAATTTACCTGAGCAAGAACCCGAGGATGGGCTTCTCGACTTACCACTGAGATGGAGATCTGCGGCGGATGGCGGCGGAGGAGCTCCCGGGCTGTAGGCGAGGACGACAGGAGTTCCGGCTCTGATACCACTGTCAGGTTTTCACCTCTCCAGCTCAGACCACGCTCATACAGCACACACACCAAAAGCACCACCGGAAGGGACAAGAACACTCAGACCAGCCCAGCCATCTCAACGGACGCCAAAGGTCAGAAAAGGGGAGGCACAGAGAGAATACCACAGAGGGACTGAAACGGAGAAGAGACAGGGGTCTCTCTCACTCTCTCTTAACCTCTCTCTCTCTCTCTAACCGAAGACCTCTACGTCAACCAAAGGCGTAGAGGAGTTTAAGTACCCGGCCATAGGGGAAGCCCTAAAGGAGGGTTCCAGAAGAAGGGCTAGCGGCAGAACAACATGGGCCAGGGCAGAGGTAAGCAAACAGGCCCAATAGGATAGAGAGGGCTGCCTTGGCCCGTGGGGCCAATACCTCCACATTATCTTTCAATTTCAGTCCTAAATGTTCTATGGTTGATTTGTCTTTAGATATAAATTTCAATAAGCTTTAAGTTTTAATTCCTGGATTATTTCATACTCCGAATAGGTGTTTACTTGGATTATTTATCATTTGGAACTACTCTTAAGTTGGATTTTGCATTGTTGCTATGTTGAATGAAATTGTATTAGAATTATATGTTTCCACGTATTACTTTAGCTCCTGCATTAATGGTGTTAGTTTCTTCATAAGCATGATAGACTAAATTTCCATGGGGTTTAGATTTGGATAAAGTTAAGGTTAATGGGTGTTCTTGAATATTGAATTAAATTTAGGAAGTTTCTCCAATTTTTGGGACTAGTTGTTTGAGATGAAATGAAAGAGTAATTTGTGAAATTG